TTTCAGAAACATTAGATGAGATGGGAGGCCATACAAATCAAATAAATAAATGTGAAAAGCTTATTTGATAGAAGTAGCATTCAGTGTTGAGACAGCAAACTATGTCTAACCCTTTTAAATCTCTACAGTGACATCAACATGGTAATTTGTATTATTGTGGGAGATTATAGTGAATATTTTAATGAAATTTAGTACTGCTCAGAAAGCCCAACCTGAATTGGTTTAAGTGATGTTTAGAACAATGGTGGCAACAGACCTGGATATCAGATTAGCAAAATTAAACTGGAAGAAACTGCAAGAAAACTGGAATTTTTTTAATCTTGACATTTTTCTATTAGGTAGACAAAGAAGTACCTTACGTATGAGGTCATACCCTACTGAGATATTAAATCATAGTTAGCTAAGCTATCTGTTTCTAACACTATTACACTGTTTTCTTTAGCTGCTAGAATGTCAACAAGAGGTTATTAAAAAATAAGGCAAGATCATCATATTGTTAATAGCAGAAGTGCAAGCCATCTGTTAAATATTCTAGAAAATATTGCATGGTATATAAAATAGCTAAGAAATACTTCAAGTGTATCTAAAATAAACAGACAGCAAAATATTTTATGTCATCATGTTTAAACCAAATTGTCCAAAGAAAGCAGAGAATTTACATATACTACCAACTATATTCCATTCATAAAGTTTACACACAGCCAGGCCTGCTTGTGTTTAGTCCTAAAGCAACATCATGTAACTTTTAAATAATTCTTTGAGTCAAATGTGAATTCATTATATATAATAATAATAATAATAGTAGTAGTAGTAGTAGTAGTAGTAGTAAAGTTGGAAGGGACCTTGGAGGTCATCTAGTCCAACCCCCTGCTCAGGCAGGAAACCCTATACCATTTCAGACAAATGGCTGTCCAGTCTCTTCTTAAAAACTTCCAGTGTTGGAGCATTTACCTCTTTTGGAGGCAGGTTGTTCCACTGATTAATTGTTCTCACTGTCAGGAAGTTTCTCCGTAGTTCTAGGTTGCTTCTCTCCTTGATTACTTTCCACCCATTGCTTCTTGTCCTGCCTTCAGGCACTTTGGAAAATAGCTTGATTCCCTCTTCTTTGTGGCAGCCCCTGAGATATTGGAATACTGCTATCATGTCCCCCCTTGTCCTTGTCTTCATTAAACTAGACATACCCAATTCCAGCAACCGTTCCTTATATGTTTTAGCTTCCAGTCCCCTAATCATCTTTGTTGCTCTTCTCTGTACTCTTTCTAGAGTCTCAACATCTTTCTAGAGTCTCAACATCTTTTTTACATTATGGTGACCAAAACTGGATGCAGTATTCCAAGTGTGGCCTTACCAAGGCATTGTAAAGTGGTATTAATACTTCACGTGATCTTGATTCTATCCCTCTGTTAATGCAGCCTAGCACTGTGTTGGCCATTTTGGCAGCTGCAGCATATTTAGGTGATTGTTTACTAGGATTCCGAGGTCCCTCTCATAGTTACTACTATATGATGCTATATGTACTGGGTAAACTAATTTTTTATATGCAAATGATATTTTTTTGAAAGTTTATGAAAATCATTATTTTCTATATATTGGCTAAACCAATGGTTCTCAACCTGTTGCCCACAGATCCCTGGGGGCCATGATGTCATCACAGGGGGGGTCCACAAAGGCTTGAAAAAATGTTAGGATTTAAATCTTGTTAAGCCTTGGTGGTCCATCTGATCTTCTGACATTTTAAATACACTGTGTGAGAAGTGGCTTACAAGAAGAAATCCAGAAGAATCCCATACTTATTTCTGAAAGCAGAGAAAGATGAAGTAATTAACTTTATACCTTTATACCAGTGGTTCTCAACCTTTTTAATGCCGCGACCCCCAATCGGTCATAAGTTGAGGACTACCCAACCGGTCGTAAGTTGAGGACTTTCCCTGCCCAGGAGCACCACGCATGCGTGGTGCCGCCCCCTGCGCTGGCCGAGGCGTAGCTGGCAAGCGGCAGAAACGGTGCAGGCCAACCACCAGCTGGGATACCAGCTGGCCCAGACCAAGGAAGGTAAGGCATCCGCCGGGCCCCACGCATGCCAGCAACCCTCCCTGTGCCCGCCGGCTTCCCACCTCCCATCCCTGGCCCTCTTTTACTTACATTTTTAGTAGTTGCTCAGCAGGGAGGGGTGGAAACTTCCAGACAGCTTGCCTTCGCTGCAGACACCGTTTGCAGAATGGGACTTTTGGCGGGCTCAGCAGGGCAGAGACAGCCTGGACAATTCCTATTGGCTTTTGAAAGCCAATAGAATTAGATTCTATTCAAGAGAGTCTATTCTATTGGCTTTCAAAAGCCAATAGAATAAAAGGGAGTAGCACACCTAAGGAAAAGGGGAAAAATGGTGGACTTCATTGTTTTGCGACCCCCATGAAATGGTCGTTCGACCTCAAATGGGGTCCCGACCCACAGGTTGAGAACTACTGCTTTATACCAACTAAATTCTAAAACACTTTAGAACATGTTTAGAGGTATTATTAGAAGACAATACGCTATCCTATCATTCTCCCAATCTTATTATTTCCTCCATATGCTAACAGACTGAGTATAGTAGTTTTAACAGGAATAGACAATGTGTAATCCTCAATTGTTTCAAAAAATCCTCATCAGTCTTTTCGTCCTAACGATTTTTGGAATTATAGTTAAATAATGTCTGAAGTGCCATGAATTGCCTTTTTTATGGAAGATGTGAGTCTTATAAGTAGATTCCATACAGCCAAGAACATGAGGTTAAAAATGGAACATAGTAATCAGAATGGATGCTGATGGTGATGATAATAATGATGATGGTGATGGGTTCTAATAAAATCTGCCTATTGAATATCACTGATAGTTCCTTGCATAATCCATTCCTTATTTAATTCTACTTACTGACATTTCCAAAAGATTCCTCCACCAGCTATTCTTATTTCTGCTGTCAAGTAATCCTCCATTTATTTCAGTGTAGCAGGCCTTTCTATGCATTAAATAATACCTGTGTTTTGATTTTGGCTTGGTTAGTTACCTAAAACATGTTTCAGTTAACAAATAAAGCTAAAAAATATTTAATAGAAGATTGCTAGAAGCAAAAAATTCCAAGTTAGGTTATGACAGGCCATATTGTATATATCTATTTATATCTCTGGGCAGAAGTAATGAAAAATAATAGCAGGCAAGATGTAGATACAATTCTCTGGAAGTACCCATGTTCTTTTTTTTATTGTTTTATCTGATGTTCATTTTAAACAGAATAGCTTCATTCCCACAAATTTGTATGTTGTTTTATTATATTCTTTTCAACCCTGCATGCAAGATTATCCATTACAGTAGCTCTGCATATATTATACACTTCTTTGTATTATTAGTATTACCTAAATAACATCTGATGGGATGCCCTGATTAGCATGTAAATTGGACCATTTTTCTATGTAGAGTAATAGTTTATTCCTGAATACCAGCAGTAAAAGCTTCTCAAGTAAATAAGGAAAGCAAAATTAGTACCAAAGTGATATGGATACATTTATCTCAAATACTGAATGTTAATGATACATTTTGTTTGAAATGAAAGACTGTCACTCAAGAATAAAGACCATTCATGAATGCAGAACAATTGAACATAGAATGTCTCAGATTTAATCCCAGCCTTTTTCACAGAGAAAACTCAGATCTGAAACTGAAAAGTCATCATCTAGTCTCACTGAGAACATGTTTCCACTGAATTATATCTTAAAATATTACTAATTTTAATGCATTAAATATTTTGATATTGTATTATAACTTTTATTATATATTTCTTTTTTATTTTGTAGTTTGGACATAATAAAATAATGGAATAAGAAGAATAATTTGTTAAACTTATTTGCCCCCCAACTCTTAAAGACTGGGCAAGTCACACCAATAAAAAAATTACATTGAAACAGAAAAAATAAAGATAAAAATGGCAAGTGCAATGAAACGAGGAGTTTCACTCTTCCTCACCAAAGGCTGGGGTGAAGAGACTGGTCTACACAGCTCTTCTGAACAACAGCAGACTGTAGGCCATCCAGGTGTTGGAGGAGATCTTGTTTTAGAGGGCAGATGCTGTTACAGAGAAGACACTCTTCCAGTGTATTGATTTATGATATTTTTAATCAAAGGAAACCAGAGTGCTTCAACCCTGCAGGATTAAATGAGGAAGATGTTAAGGGAAACAAACAGTACCTCTAGTAATTAGGCCCTATGTCATGTATGGCTTCTTAGGTAACTACCAGCACTTTGGATTGCACCCAGAAGCAAACCTTGGCCCATACATTAAATGAATAACCCATTGGGATCCCCATATCAAAATAACTTACCTTATGTGTGGCCTGAATTTGAAAATTACATTTAAGATAGCACAGTACCTGAGCTAAGATCGGCTGAGATTGACATATGTGAGACTGATTGGAGTAGATTGTAGGGGTGATAGTGAAATATAATTTTATCATAATTTATCTATCTACATATTAAATTGCTGCATTTGATACTAATTTCATTTTAAACTGTATTTTACTCCAATTTCCTTTCAAATTGTATTTTAACCAATTCCATTTTAAATTGTTTTTACTGCATTTTAGTAATAACATGTGTTTGGAACTCTGCCCCTTGATATGGCCCATGGGCTAATCAATAAAGTAATTAATATAGAATTGCACCCAGAAGCAAACCAGTGACAGTGCAGCTTGCAAAGCAAGGCATGCCCATGGATGCTTGCTTCGCTATATACTGGACCAATGAAAGCTTCAGGGTGATCTTCAAGGGCAGCCTCAAGTGGAGGATATACTATTTTGTACTTTTGTACTTTGTAGAGCTTCTTTGCTACAGAAAAGGATTGGGAAATAATATATTTTAGCAACACAAAAATAAATTTTAGCAATACAACTAATCTTTTCACAATAGCTGGAAATATAAATTTTTTTTAATATATCTGTAATCCTAATACATTGTTCTGGTATTTTTTTCAGGTAGACCACTAATGATAGTGGTTGAATACATGGAGAATGGATCCCTTGACTCCTTTCTACGGGTGAGGTATCATTTTCTCAGGACATCTGAATAAGAATCCATTCTAAGAAAAGGTTTTAAATCATTTATCCTACTAATTTTTCCCTAATGTTAGTCATAGATTTTTACTAGAAGAGAAACACATTGCCCAAGGTAAATATCTTAGGTACAGTAATATATAAGTATAGCCAGAAAGAAAAGAATATTTAAACTTAAGAATATAATTGATTCTTTATACAAATTACATTTACATATTTAGCCAATTGTATTTTAAATTTTGCTAGTATATGAAACAAAAAGATGATTGAAATATGAATTCCTTGCCATATGGCAACTGCTCATTTCACTTGTTTGTTTAAAAAGATGTTTTCTCAGTGGGATCTTTTTCACTTTGGAAGTGTAGTATAGGTTAGTAATTGATTTATAATTATTAATGGTTACTTGTGCTTAAACAAATTGAATCAGAAACTACTGAAATGACTTGATGATTTTATTTCACTTAAAGTCAGTTGTAAATAAATATAAGGACCATAAAAATAAAATTGCAACAGACTTTTCAAATAATAACATAGGCATCCCTACACAGCAGGTGATAAATTCCTAATCTTTAATATATTCATAAGTAATACAGAGAATACTTTCTCCTGCCTTTGACATGTTGTGATAATAGAAAAGATACCTGACATACAATTCTTTCATTGCTCCCTCCTGCTTTTACAAATGCCTTCAAAACTTAGTTAAATATATCAGCTAGTTAATTTTAGTCACAACAGCTATCTCATAGTGTTAGAAGTTCTTTCACAATAATCAGTAGTTTTTAGAAAAGTTACAGCTAAATTGTTAGACTCTGTATCTCATGGACTCATGGGAAAAGACTCTTGAAAGTCTTTTGTTCATGATAGGGAAAAACAGAGTCAAAAAGAGATAAAGGAAGTTTGATTGGACTATGTGATTGGGTTGGATTAATAGCTTTTGTTCTCAAACTGAACAAAAAAAATTACCAACAGATTAATGGCCCTGAAACAATTTTTCAGATTTCCTTTTGTTTGCAAAGGAGGCTTCAAGGAAGTCTCATCTATGAGATGTGAGCCATGAGATGAAAAAGGTTGAACATCTGCCATTCATTTAACCAAGGTCAGAACTATGGAAATGGAAAGTGTGAAGGGTCACAGTTTGGAAGGTTATTTATTGAGCCTTTTTGTTATTTTGTTTGTTCCTTATGATTTCTAAACATGAAAGTGTCTTGGAAGCCTCCTGCATTTCTTTAAACTAGGATCCCTTTTCCTAATTAAACATGCCTACCATTCACTTACTACCGCATAAGGGTATCAGTTTTGACTGCAAAGGGGAGTTGTTTCCTACAAATAGTGTTTATGACCTTTGGGCCATAAAGCTTAAGCTAAAATAGGAGAAATGTTTAGAATCATGTAACAAAGATAAAATGAAAATGTGGAGACAAAGTAGAATTGAGTCAACAATATAGTTTAGCAAGAGTTACATATTCATCACTACACTCGTAACAGCCTTCAAGCTATAGGCTTTGCATGAAATGGACCATTCTATTCCAATTAATTTCATTTGCATAATGATGGCATTATGCAAATGATACACATTGATTAAAATGAGGTTACGTGGCATTTCTATAATGATGATATTACATGAATAACACAAAGTGACATGGATGATGTACACTCTGGTCTAGTGAATATTTGTAAATAACAAACATCTGCCTAAATTAGTCTATAAAGATTAGGTACAGTCAAAAATTATATATTGGTGATTGGTGAGCATAATCTTGATATTTTCAGTCAGAATTGAGGAGAAAGAGTTTCCTTGAACATCTGTGAGCATTTGCTCTCAAAATGGTCTCCACTGGTAACTTGTTTTATACGCAAGGTTTACACAAGATGCTAAGCTAAACTAACAAATCAGATTATAATTTAGCACTTTATGTACATTAAGCTTCAATAAGCCCATTTCCTTTTGTCCATTCTGCAGTCTTCAATATTTAGCAGAAAAAATAGTTATACATACAATATTATCATACTAGAGATTTTATTTTGTGCAAATTAATATGTCTGAACAAGTTTGATTGATTCTAAATGGAGGGGGCTGCTGTTTCTCTTTGTTATAGGTATGTCATCAAGCTTTTTATGTCAAAATATAAAACCGAGATAGCTACACTGCAGGTATATTAAAATAGCAAACCTTCTTTGTGTTGTGGAGATGTACTGTATATTAAAGCAAAGTATCACAAACTATTTACCAAACCTCAAGAAAACTTGAGAAGGAAAGGTGAAAAATAGTTGTCTATGGAGAACTGTTAGGATATATGGCTGTACAATCAAACAGCTCTTCTATAATTCCCAGTGTAACATTGCCATTAACCTCATCTTCCTGACAGCTAGAGGTTACACACTTAAGTAGAAGCCTGTGTTAAATAACGTTGAGAAAGAAGAGACTTCCATAAAATGAAGCCATAAAGTGAGTGCTCTAAATCCATCTAAGTTAGCTTCTCTATCTTAGATTGGATGAAGAGGCTGACACGATGCTGCAAAATTTAATAGCCCTGTTTTATTTGTCAGTTACAAAAGATACTTTAAAAATAGACTGTCATGGTTCTGATAGATGAAACTCTTCAAAAGAACTTGGAGGCATTGTTTACCTTAAAGAATCTTTTATTCGAGAAACAAAGTTTTGGCACTACATAGTTGAAACCAGAAACTAAATTCCCCTCCCCTGGATGCAAAATAACAAAGAGCAATTCCCTCCTCCAATAAACAGTCATAAATCACATTCCCCAATTAGCTTGAAGCACTGGCTTTCTCCCCAGCTCTCCAGTCCACCAAAACACTAACAGCTCTGGAGCCAATGTCCTTGGTTTCTCACAATTAAGTTATTATTGTTATGACTAGCTGGACTTTCATCTCTATTCCCCCTCCCAGCAGCAACTAATTCTAAAAGCAATACAGAAAATGGCTGCATTTCCATCTGTTGTCAAAGCAAGAACATCCAATGTTAGCAGCATTGACATCCGGCCCCCGCTTACAAAAAGGACAAATCTGGTAATGCAAACAAAATCATAGGCTAAGGGTTGCCTCTAGATTTGTTAGGGTATTTCTTATATAATCTATTAATGAGTCTGTCAGCTTTTACATTGCTAGATTTCACCTAGACAACAGATACCCCCTCCATTGCACTAAGTACTGCAATTTCCCTTTAAAAATTCTAGAATCAAGAATACGCTTCACTTCATAGTGAGTCTGTCCTGCTGCTACAAGAGGTCCAGGTGCCTTCTTAGGGGGAGGTCTTAAGGTGGAATCCTGAAAAGGTTTCAGTAGGCTACAATGAGATACAGGGTGAACTTTCCCTATGAGACCCGGAAGTTCTAGTTCTACCATGACCAGGTTAATAATCTTTACAATGGGGAAGGGTCCTAAATACTTTGGTCCTAGCTTCTTACTAGGTAACTTGTCATAAATATTTTGTGGACAAATAAACCTTTTCCCCAACTTGGAATGTCCTTTGAGGAGCCTGTTTTTTATCTGCCTGTTTTTTATGTGTCTCATAAGCCTTTTTTCAAAGCAGTTTTCATGGCTTTCCAGACTTCTCCCTACCCCCTCACCCACTGATCAAGAGTGTGGGAAGCAGAGAGTCCCTGAGGATATTTGGGTATTGGGCTGAATTCTTTCCCTGTGGCCACTTTAAAAGACATGAAGCCGGTGCTGCTGTGAACAGAGTTACTGTAAGCCACCTCTGCAAAAGGGAGGAAGTCAGTCCAGTTCATTTGTTGATAATCCACATAGCATCGGAGATATTGTTCCACCAGATTCAGCCGCCCCGTTGGTAGATGGGTGAAAGGCCGATGATAGTCCTTGAGATGAGCCAATTAGTTTAAGAAAACTCCTCCAACTTAACTGTAGACTGCACCCCCCCATCAGAGATTATTCGTTTTGGTGCACCATGAAGTCTGTAGATGTGTTTCAGGAACATCTTTGTTAGTCGCTGGGCAGACAGGAGTCTTTTGCAGGCAATAAATGAGCCTGCTTTGAAAACAGATCTATCACAGTCCAGATGGCCGTATTTCCCCTACTTTCAAGTTGGTCTACTATAAAATCCATAGTAATTTCTTCCTATGGTTGGAAAGGGTCTGCCACCAGTTGTAATAACCCAGGGGGAGTTCCCAGAATTCTTTTCAGGGTGGCATATACAGTACAACTCCAGACATAGTTTTCCACGTCCCGTTTCAATCCTGGCCACCAAAATTGCTGGTGGATCAGGTGTAGTGTTTGTAGTTAAAAGCTTTCCTACCTTTCTTGTTTTATTTCTTCCTTAGTTTATTGTAATTGTTTCAAAATACAGATAGTCCTTGACTTACGACAGTTTATTTAGTGACCATTCAAAGTTAGAATGGCACTGAAAATATGATTTATGACCATTTTTCACAGTTACAACCTTGGGCAACATCCCCATGGTCATTTGATCAAAATTCAGATGCTTGGCAACTGGTTCATATTTATGACCATTGTTATATCACAAGGTCATGTGATCCCCTTTTGTGATCTTCTGACAAGCAAAATCAATGGGGAAGCCTGATTCCTTCAAACCCCCCCAAGTTACTAACTTAGCAGTGATACACTTAACAACTATAGCAAGAAGGTCGTAAAATGGGACAAAACTCATTTAACAAATGTCTTACTTAACAACAGAAATTTTGAACTCAGTTGTGGTCATAAGTCAAGGACTACCTGTATGTCTTTGTTACATCCTGTCAAGTAAAGTCCTACATGTTTCACTGCATCTTTTGTGATTTCATACCCAGATTCTTTTTACACAGAATTTTCTTTCTTAAAAGATAAGTGCCTTGCTATTATCTTTGTTTTCTTTTTATTGGTTTATATTTGGAAAAGCAACCAAAATCTTTGAGTAATTTCATCAATAGCTATGTGGAACTTTGTGGTTTCATGATTATTAATACTATATCTACATAATATTTTATATTGTATTCTTTAATTTTGATCC